ACATCATAGTTAAAAACTTAACTGACCGCTCCGGCATGCAAAAGAAAATATACTTTTAAGAAAAAAGTCACAAATGAGTATAAGCAAGACTCTAGCCTACTAAAAAGCCTATTCAGTCTGAATATAATCAAAAACATACTTAGATGAGTTATTACATAGCATTTGCTATGGAAATAGGATAAAATAAGGATTTACTAGTTTTAATAAAATAATTGCAGCCTATATTCTTAGCACGTTCAAAACAAAGTGTCATAACTGCCTAGTAAAATCAGATTTTTTTAATTTCCTAGCCTTGCTCCCAATCCCTTATTAATTAATCCACATGATTAACTTAATCTAATCGGAGTAGATAAGTTTTTTATTTAAAAAACCCTCTAGAATGAATAACTCACATTGCTCAGCAGATTCGATGGGCCTGAAGTGCTAGGATCTTCAGGATCACCGGAGGCCATCCGAGTAGCCGAAAGACAGAAATCCAACAATTTCTTAGCTTGTGTTGAAGAAATCTGACTTAAAATAGGAGCAGTCTCCTTGAAAAGTGCAGCAAGACTAGGTGCTGTAGGACCACTCCAGATAGAAGACTCCGAAGTATTCAATGCAGAGAAAATAGAGGGCAGACATGGGCGTCTGGCAATGCGATGGATGTAGGATGTAGTGCCAGTGTCTGATTTTGACATCAGGCGGCGAGCAAGCCTGAGGCTAGGGGGAGCATGCCAGTGAAAACTAGTGGTTGCACCCCGCGACTTTATAAGGCTAGCAGATACCGAAGCGAGGCCACAAGAAGAGCTATAGGGTGTTGTCGTAATAGCTTCTGTAGGCAAGGCGGAAAAAGTGTCAGATACAAGATGTGTCGTAGAGGACGGTCCAGGCTGAACCTCGTCGGCTAAATGACTACCAATATGCTGGTGGAAGGCCTCTAAATGCTGAGCAAGATGAACGCGAGAGGAGAACTCTTCGGAGCAGGGTTTGACGGGGCAAGTAAAGGAAAGATCAGAAAGACAGTTCCCGCTACTCTGAGTACCATTTACGCGAGCTAAAATAGATTAATGAAAGGGTAGTTATAAATGTAATCAATGAATGGCATCAAGGATGTGCATTTTCTAGGAAAAACAAACAAAAATACTTATTTTTCGTTTAAAAGCAGATTTTTAAAACTAACAGTAATAAAGCTATTACATCTCATATAAAGCAAAATATTGACTGCTCTCAAAGAAATTAAAGGACTTTCAACGCTTTGATATTATTAGTTTCAAAATAAGAATGAAAAGATCAATGCAAAACTGAGTAAAAATGTAAAAAAAACTTTCTGGTCACTTATTCTAGAATGCTAACCCAGTTTTATATAAATAACAATAAATAATACATCGCAAATTAAATGAAAAAAACGTTCAATAGATAAAAATGAGGATGTGTGAAGGCCACGAAAAGTAAACATACAAAGGATAGAAGACGCCTTGAGATCACCATAGCGCTTCCAGTAGTTCCAACAATTGCTGCATACCTTTAAGAGACATGTTGGAGGACCTAGTGCATACCACTGAGCAGAATTTAAGGCTTGACAACCTTCACATCGATTTGGAGGATTATCAGGCACACCTGGATTCCCAGAAGGAGGATATAAAACGGCAGGGTTCGGCTTGTTATAGTTTGGAATGTATACCTGCTTGAGGCGATGCTCAGCCTCAGCAGCTTTCATTCGTTTTTGTTGGACATGATGATCAGTTGTTTTCCACATGTAATAAAAATCCACGAGACTCTAAAATTTAGGCGTAATTTGTACATATATAAATATGAAGAATCAAGTGAGTAATTAAGAATTACGTACTTTGGGCATTTTCCATGGAAGGAAATCGCTATGAATATCACCGAAGCATTTGC